TCACAGATTAACAAAAATTTGGTCACAGACTACCGCCTACCACCGATACTTGGTCACAGGTCACAGATCGACCAAGACGGACTACCTAGCCAACAGCCCACCACCAACAATAGATCCGCCACCAACGACCACTACCCCACAGATCCACCAACAGCAAACAACAGCCAATCCGCCGTACCCACGGCGTCGAACCAACACACCCACACGCCCCAACACACCACTACTACGCCACCGCAAAATCACAACCACAAACCACCACATTGCTGCGAACTCAATGATTGAGAACAATGCTATGTCACAGAGTTTGTATGAGCAGACAAATAAGAAATCGCGCTACGCCACCACACTGATGCTGCTGTAGGTTGCAGCAGCGTGACTCGCGAAATCAAGCTGCTGCGATTCGAGATTTCACGAATCGCAGTAGAGGCGAATCGCAGCATCGCACGCTGCTGCGATTCTCAGCAGGGGAAAGGGAGGTGGAGACAAGACGGAAGAGAGAGGTGAGGTGTGAGAGAGAGAGAGAGAGAGAGAGAGAGAGAGAGAGGGGGTTGAGTGGAAAATTAGGGTTAGTGTGTTTATATAGCACCTGATTTTTGTTCTAACTTTAAATCAGGGACTAAAAACTTAAACTTTGAATATTGTGGACGGAGGTACATTAAAGGAGATTTTTTAAATCTGGCTGGATCAAAGCCCATTTTCATCATTAGCTATTGTTGGACTGAACTTGACATCAGTCCAACATAAATGAAAAGGAAAATTATTTGTGAGGCATCTCTAATCAAATTTAGTGCTAAACCGACATCCTTCCTCTCTCTCCCCAAACTATCTAGGCCATTAAATTTGAGTGCTTGACATGCAAAAAGAAAATTAGGAAATGAATATACGAGGCGTGGAAAAAGAAATAAGAAATCAAATGAAAAGATTGAGCCAACAAAAAATTTACTAATTTCCTTTAGGAATATCAATTCGACTAGTCGGCTCAGGCGGCCCACGGCTCAATCTGAAAAGCCGACTCGACTCGCGACTCAATGGATCCGAGCCAGGGCTTAAACCGGGCCTCATTTGGGGGCGATGGCCTGATCAGCATGGCTGGCCAAAATGTCTCGTGTCACATTACAGCTGTATACTTCATACAACATGAAGCTGCATGCAAAATATTACCACAAAAATACATCAAGTCGGCTCGGTAAGGCCTGAGCCAAGCCTCAATTTTTCAGGCGAGCTTTGGATTGGCTCACTTGGCTCAGCTTGGGCCTAAAAAGTTCATGTCATTTTTTGCTCGTATATGCATATGTGCTCATATCTAAAGAGGGAGGAGATATGAATTGTACCATGAATCGATTGTATAATATAATTGAATGACTAGACCTGGGTAACTGCTCAGATGAGGAAATTTTCGAATGCTCAGATGTCTACAGCTTATCTTGAGTAAACATTCATCCATTACTAGTAAGCAACAAGTGCTTTCACCTGTTGCTTAGTGTGTAGTTGCTTTTAAGTAGATCTATCCAACAAAATAACAAATTGACACATAATCTAGAAAGTGTTTTAACCAACATAATATCTTTGACGATCAAGCCAAAAAAATATCTAGTTTCAAAAAGTCCAGGTCACAAGATTGACATTACTCATAACCAGTTTGAGCTAGTCAACATTCGTTCAACTATCAAACTCCGATTTCATCTTAATCTTCATAAATGACGATATGTGACAGGGTATAAGGTGTTTAAAGAGAGTGTGAAGTTGCACAAGATTCCGGATTTTAATACTTTGAAGTATTTAGCAGAAGGGCTGGCCAAGAATGGACATAAGAACGAGGTGAAAGCAATGATTCGATCTATGAATAATAAGTTTCCTCCTAATTTGCTGAAGGCTTTGGGGAAGCTTGTGGAGTATCTGGGCTTGGCTCCTATTGACACTATCAAGGTCGATTCTGGTGAGTCAGAAATGGCCAGTTCCTGAGATTTTGTGTCTTGAATTGTTAGACTATTGTACACTTTTGAGCAAGTTAGATTGGATTTTTGGGTAGTCATAAAACTTCAAGATAATGTTTTCTAAGTGATGTTGCATACAGCTTAACGCCGAGGGCTACATGTGGAGCTCATCAAGATTTATAATGCATCTCGTGATATTTAGAACATCAAAAGCATATGTACTTTCATTTTTTTGTTAATGTCGATCTCATCTTTAATTTGAAGCATGTGTACTTTCATCCTTTTCTTTTACTCTTGATTCTTTTTATTTTTTGAATTGTTTTGGATCCCATTCAAGGAAAAACTGAAGAGTGCAGAAGTTCTATTTTCCCATATGGTGGTATACCTTATTGCCTAAGTGTGCTTTGGTTTGCCATTGTTTTAGTCTGTCTCCTTACCTAGTTAGTGTGATACACTCAAAATGAGTACCAACTAATTTCCTTACTTAGCTTTAAATATGTCGTCTTAAATAGTAATATGG